CGAGATTCTGTTTGCGTTTGCGTCGAGCACGCCGTTACCAACTGAATATTAGAAATCCCATAGGATTGTTTATACTCGCCGTCGGCCTCACAGATATTACAGTAAAGCCCAATTTATAAACTCACCGTCGAGATTCCGTTAGCGTTTGTGTTTACGTCGAGCACGCCGTTACCAAGTGAATATTAGAAATCCCATAAAATCGTTTATACTCGCTGTCGGCCTCTCAGTTCGCCATCAGCATCAAGAGATTACGGTAACCAGCGAGGCTGACGCAAACGCAGACGCAAATGGAATCCCGACGGCGAGTTTATAAATTGAGTTTAAATTATAAATAAAATGCAAAAAAAAAATATGAAGATTTGAATCTCTTGATAACCTTATGAAATTTCTTTGCAAATTAGGTATTTATAATTTAAGCTAAGATATCTCAAAAATTGCTCACGCAAATGTGATCAATAATGTATTTCAAATCAGGATAAAAAGATTTTTCATTTTATCGCATAATATACAGGGTGTCCCATTAAAAAAAGTTGAAGTTGTCTACGTTTTTCCATTTTTAGATGCGATTTTGTTTCTTCTGATAACGTTAAAAAAAATATAGAAGAAAAAACAGTCAAGTTCTTTATTCAATTTTTTTTTCTATTTTTAATAGTAAAGGCTGTAGGTATGGGCTCATATAATCATATACCCTTTATACAATAGATTCGACCTCGCAAATGACGAATGACAAGGGCAGTCAGTCATATCGTGCAAAAGCTTGTGAAGAAGCATCGCAGCTTACGAGTTCCTGACGAAGGAGTATTAAAGCAGCTTCATGACAGAAATGCTTCATCAACATTTTCATATAATGATTTTCCTTCAAACATGGCCATGGCCAATTTTCTACAGCCCTTAGCCAACGAACGCCAACGAATGAGACTCGGCGATGGATCCGAATGTTCGTTGGCATTTGAAAAAACCTCCATCTTGCATTCGCTGTCTGAGCAAACGTTCGTTGGACGTGAAACCACAAAAACCGATGCGCGAATGGATGACGAAATTATTATTGCTTGTGCTGCATTGCAATTCTCAATAAAAAAGAAGAAAGAAAACCAAAACCAAAGCGCAAACAAAGGTGGTGGACGACGACAATATTTAAAAAAAGAAATACCTACAGTGGAAGCCAACTAATACTCGATTTACAAATGGAAACGTCATATAACTTGTTGATATGGATTTTTGTGGAATATCTGCAAAACAGTTCGAGTGGTTGTTAAATGCTGTCGGACCTAAAATAAGTAAAGAAAAAACGAATTATCATCGCTCGTTCGTTCGTTGGCTGAACCGTCCACACCGCATTCGCCGATTCCCTCTATTTCTTTTGATATTACCGATACTCTACGGGTTGCAAGCGAACGCCAACTAATCTTCATTGGTCTTCGTTGGCCCGTTCTGTACGTACCTTGACAGTAGTTGTCGTCCTGTCAAGGACAGAGCCGCCTGAAGAATAGTCAAATGTTATGGGATTTAGTATTTTATGGAAGGAAATGACACTGCATTCGGAAGCCTTCAGAGTCAACATATTAGCGGTACTCAACTACAGCAGCAACATTTGCCTGCAAGACAAGGCCGGAAATGAGCATAAGCAATTTTGACGACAAGTTTACCAACAGGGACAATAAAAAGAAGAGGCCTAAGGTTGGAGCCCTGTGGAATGCCAGACGCGTTAGCCCTTGACAATTTAAATATTAAACGACAAACTATCTGTTGACATGGTAAAGACAAAACCAGTTGACCACAGGTACGAATTTGAACTCCCTCAAAGTGACTATTCAGGGCCGCAAGGGCGAAAATATTGTACCTGTATTCCCGAACGGGTCATCTGGCTGGTGTACAGACAGATCGAAAACCTGATTCTGTAAAGAACGAACCGTTCGATTCGGTAGAATTTCTTCGATTGTGACGTCATTTTCGGCATTTTCGGAATAGCTTCCGCGCTAGCAAACCGAAAATGACGTCACAATCGAAGAAATTCTACCGAATCGAACGGTTTGTTCTTTACAGAATAAGGCCCCAGAGCAAGGAACTGGAGCATACGTCCCACTTTGTAGACTATCAACAGCCCTAGGAGAAAGCCTAAGAGCGAAGCGATAATCAGGCAGCACTGAAAGCTTTGAGTAGCTCTGTCACTGAGACCAGAATGGTATTGGACTGCCAACAACTCCTAAAGCAACTGGCGTCTCGCAATGGAGTCACCCTGTCATGGGTACCAGGGCACCAAGGAGTCGAGGGGAATGAAATAGCGGACTAACTCGCAAGACAAGGAGCTGCAACACCATTCCAGAAACTTTTTTTGGCATTACGAAAAGCCATATAATGGGAAAAGTCCAGAATTGGGTATAGGCTCAACAAGCCTCTCGCTGGAACACACTTCCAGGACTTAGACAGGCGAAACAATTCATCTCGCCCAGTCAATAAAGGCAAAGGAAATAATTGACCTTAGTAAAGCGGAGCTGAGGCTGCTTACAGGCCTCTTCACGGGTCACTGGCCTCTGGGTTACCACCTGAAAAAGATGGGCAAAACAGAATCAGACCTATGCCGCTTCTGTGAGTCCGCGGAACACATACTTTGCAACTGTGAGGCCTTGTGCCGCAGAAGACTCATCCACCTGGAGCAATTTTACTTAATGGCTGTGGATGTGAAAGAAGCCAATCCCAGGAACATTATAGGATTTGCCAAAAGCCTTACGGGTCAATTCTGTGCACATCTGTAAGCAAATCTTTAAAATTCTGTGAGCCTATAGACACTGCAAAACGCATCGATTGCCAAACACCCAGTTGGAAATATTTACGATCCTATAAGATATTCTGTAATCTACAGGAAGTGCAGAATTGCAAATTGTCTATAAGCAGCTATAGGCTTATAGAAATTTATAAATTTGCTAACAGATGTGCACCGAATTGACCCATTAGTCTGGGAACCCACTAGATATAAGGGGAAGCACAATAGATCAAATCAGGTCGCAGTACGGAGAGGTACATAACCTAAACACCTCAATCATCACAATCTACAATCTGTTGACATGAGCTGGTTATGCCAAAATAAAAGCTAAGTAAAAATGTTTTTATTCTGGAGTGAAAAATAGAATTTTGTAAACACCACTGGCGTAAGCAGAAGACAGAAGGTGGATTACATACGAGTAATTATCCTAGTAACGCCCTTGGTACATAAATAGCTTTTATAGTTAAGTTGTCAAGTTTACTACAAGTTAGTAATAGCTTTGTCAGATTTATGTCGCAAACTCCTTGAAGAACTTGAAGTTGTTACATTTTCTGTTTACTACTTTGACATCTTGGAAACTCTTAAAGTGGATTTTCCTTCACGCGGCTCAATAACTATCAGGTTCCGTTTCCCTTCAATTTAACATTTTCCAATGCACTCTTGAAGCCTTAAAATTTTAGGTGAATTCTTAGAAAGGAGCTACATAAGTATATTTGGCAAAAACTTATATTCAGAGTATAAAAATCGCAAAAACATATAATTGATTAAATTATTGTTATCGTGCTGCAGACTATAAAATTGAACTTAGTATGAAATCAGATCTGATATTTAGAAAATCATTGTAATAATAAAAAATGTAGATGATTAAGAAGTAACTAGTGTATTAATCTATAATGAAAAATATAAAAATGCAGGTTAGGGTATTATGATATACAAAAATAAGGGAGAAACCCATTCTTGGAGCCAATAAAGGTAGATTTCTTAATAATATTTTACTCAATTTTGCAGCATAAAAAATCCACCCTCTCAATGATTAAACAAACATGCAAATTACCGTATATACATGCCACACTACGAACTGTGGCTTGCATACATACAGTGTAGGATTGCTTTGGTATATTAGGACAGTTTCTATCTGCCATATTATGCATTTGTTAATAGTTCATGCGGTGATTTTGGATTTGAAGGGGATACGAAGCTGTGGGAAACTAAAAAGCTGATTTGCCTCGAGTTAACTTTTTAACATATATATGGAAGGATTAAAAATGGACGTTTGGGTGTTATTAACATAGATGGGACTGTTGACACATAACTTGAACTATAACATATTCTTCTGACGGTTGCTCTTGCAATCAAATTTAAAAAATATATACATGGATTATTACAAAGGTGATAGATTTTTTATAATAGATAATTGCCCAATTATATTTTTCAATTTAGGTGGGTTATAATTTATGAACACAGATGTGTTTTAGGGTGGTATAGGAATGAGTCACGAATAAAATTAACCCAACTTTTCCTAAAAATAGACAAAACATTGATACAGTTGAATATCTTTCACAAAACGTAGGAGGTCTATTTTTTTGCCTTTGGAAAACATCTCGGTACTAAACTGTGGTCAAAGTTTAGGGAACCGCAAAAGAGAGAGTCATTTTCAAGCTCTAAAAGTTGTTCATGTCTAATTTTTCTAGATATTTAGCTTTTGACTTGCAATAATTCAAATCGTTTGTATAAAAAATACATCAAATACTAAATTATCGAATTACCCAATCAACTAGAACAAAGGAAACTACAGTATCATCATGAGCACTAAATAAAAAAATATAACTACATACTTTATTTGGGTCTTAATAATATTTACATTATCCTTTTTGAAGTAGTTATAACAAAGGCAAGCCAATACTAATTTACTAATTTTAATGTATTTATAAATGAAAGTGTCAGAGTAATATGTTAGGATTCAATAAACATTTAAATAATTAGTAAAAATTGAATGTGGACACGACCTGTTGAAAAAAATCAACAAGAAGATCACACTGCGTTGGCGTTACACTTGTATGGATGAGTAGCAAGCAGTCAGATCTTGTCATACCGAGTGATACAATTTTTAGGATAAGAACATTGAACTTGCAAATTTCCACAAATAACACAATTTAAATTGTCTGAGCACCACTTAAACACACACGAATAACAATGTTTATACATACAGTTTTTACCAGAGATTGCTTAGATTGCTTACTTGATTTTGCCCCACCTGTATGTATGTATATATGTGGGTATTAGTAATCATACCAAAAAAATTGGAACAAAAACAAAACAGTTAAATAACAAATACGCACAAATAAAATAAAGGCCAGTAAAACACAAAGTGGCATTTAGTCTAAAATAAAATGTATGGTAGGTTTAAAAACTGTTTTATTTCAAAACATTATCGCAACTGTGTTAAAAACAAAGAAAAGAAAACTAAGTACACTTCTTTTTAATGAATCAGTATATATGGCGCATCACCACCAGTGAGTGACTTAAAATAATACCTTATTTTTGAATATCCAAAAATGCATTAAGTCATAAATAATAATAATATATAAATTAGATTATATTTTATGTTGCAAAAATTGTTTATTTCAGCAGAACATTCAAAAAAATTACGCTGTGTCTAGCCTCCCGGCACCGGTATTCATATGAATCCCGGTTATGACGCGTTTCCGATGACTCCATTAACGACCGCCGGGATTTATCGTGGATCCCGGCTATTGGATTCAAAATTGAAAGTCGTGTTTCTCTTGCTGCTTGAAGCTGTGATTAATTCCGGAATAGCTTTTATGTATTATTGTTTCTTATGATATTGGTATTAGAGTGGTAAGTACCTACTTCGTTAATCCACTTTTCGTAGTAGTGGTTTAAAAAGGGAATAGTATGGTTTATTTTCATTCATTATTCAGGACTATAGCTTTTTTAGCAGACTGTATCTCTGGAATAGGGTACTCTTGGACCCATGTTTATAGGAATTTTTGCTCTTAATTTGAGATGCAGAATTCTCAGTTAAAATATTAACCTCTAATTTTGGGGCACCCTGTGTAATGTTGCTAAACATTAACGGTGTTGCTGTACAAGATCAGATGCTGAACAAACTTTCAAAATGACCCTGTACCTACATATAATAAAAAGTCATAATTTTATTTTCCATTATTAAAAGCTTATCGCGCCAGACTTTGTTTACTTTTTTTACTCTTCATAATAAATCTGCTCCAATACCAATGAACATAATAATTATTAACATCTTGTATAGCAATAGCCGGGATCCACGACAGTTACCGGTGGTTATTGATGACGTCATTTAAAACGCGCCATAACCGGGATTCGTATGAATACCGGTGCCGGGAGGCTAGACACAGCGAAAAAATTAAGGTTAACAAATTAAGTCTCTCTGAAGGTAGTGTTCTTCATTTGTGAGCGCTCATATACAAAGTATTATAAAAAAAATTATACAATACCAAAAACATTATTGTTAATAATTTTTTTACCAATAAATAGAAGCCTCTACAGTAATTCAACAAACAACGCTAGAACTATGTGCAACGAGGCCATCATTATCTATTTGAGAAGCATCAGGCGCTAAACATCATTTTGAGATATAATTATTAGATAATATATTCGAGCCTATAAGAAAAAATAGTAATTTTTTTTTTTCTAACCAGGCAAAAAACGATAATTTTATGGGATTACCGTATATTTATCATTAATATTAAAAATCTAGATTCAACTTCCATGATCATGGTAGTATTTTTTTTCTAACAATTATTATCTCTATATACAATAAAATCACTCAACAATCAGCATCGTGCTGCCAAAAATTAGAACATTTATTGATTCCAGAAATGTTTAAGTTTTGTTCTTAATTGTCCCAAACACATTTGAAGGTGAATATTCTAATTTCTGTCAAAAATCTTGATGCAATAGTGTGTAACAGAAAAATGATCTGACATCTTTTCTTTTATCATCTTTTATGTACAATATTTATATTGAGAGTTTTTGGCTATAAACAAGAGATTTTTTCCTAAGAAAAAGGTATATCAAATAAAAAAGAAAATGAAGGGAGGATGAAAATAAATAAATAAACGCGATAGTCGACAAAAGTTGGGACAGCAAAGAAATTAGATGAAAGGCAGTATTTTTTTATTAGACACTTTACAACATAATTACTACGTTTTCATGGAGTTTTGAAATCGTTTTGAATACGGTTTTGGTATTGAAAACGCCATGAAAACAGGTACTGAAATCGATTTCAGTCTCAAGGTCGTTTCACCTTTTTTTGGGATCGTATCGAGATTTAAATTCAGAAACATGCAATTCGATTTCAATTCTAATTTTGCCTCTTCATGAAAACGGGGAAGAGGATTGGATTCAAAACGATTTGAAAACTCCATGAAAACGTAGTAAATGAATCCTTCATCACAGGAGTCCCCTATTATTTCAGATGAAGTTGAGCTCTTCTGATAAAAAATAAAAACAAGAATGTGACATTTAATGCTATACGAGAAGAAAACGTGAAATTAATTCAAACCAAATAAACACTGAAGACTGAAGCAAATGTCAGATTTATTGGTTTTGATGTGTTTTTGAGCTTTGTAAGTGGAATTAAGGAACCGAAATTTCCACAACTGATGTCAAGTTTGTGGATTTCCCTGAATGTAGAATTTCATTTTAAATTTCAGTAGATTACCTTGAGGCAAGGGCGAACAATTTTTTCGTCTTAAAGGACGGGCAAAGTCAGATTACAAAAGTATTTTAGCACAAATTTAAATAAAAATATTGTAAAATGATGGATAATTAAGTAACTACAATCGATCGTCTAATAAGCTAATAATTATTCAGTATTACTCCGCCTACAAGTGTACTTGTATATGAGCTTAATGGGGTTTCGCTGGATTAGCAATAACATCAGTAGTCGTGATGTATGTAATATCCAGGCGCGGCTCGTGAGTTTTTTTACAGGTGGGTCAAATTAAGAGGGACAGCGCCGCAGGCTAAAATAGCGCCTTGGGCGAAAAATTTTTGGTACTTAACTAAATTTTTTGGCTTTAGTAGGAATTCAAATTTGAATATTTGAATTTCGCGCTCATTTATGGTCATTTTGAAATTTGACAAATGATGACGTAGATGTTGGGTAATATCCTTGCTAGATGTTGGGTAATATCCTTGCCAGATATTGGGTAATATCCTTGCCCTAATTTCAGGATTTTGAGGTTATGTCTTTATGTCTACGTCAAGTAGAAATCAACAGGTTAGAAACTTTTTTAGAATTCGTGCAATAAGTTAGTAAATATTTAAATAATAAAGAAAATACAACAACAATTTAGTTAATTAGACCCATCCCTACATTTTAAATTAAAAAAAAAAACTTACTTTGGGTGGGTCTAATGTTTATTGTTTAAGTCGACTGAGTCCCAAATTTAGACACGTTTGATTTGAACAACAAATCAATTCTCCTATGCACTCAACCTAGACTGCTCTTTCGTGGTTCGGCATAAATCAAGCTTTGGTTTCGGACGACCACTTTTCTTAAATTCCAAAAGTCATCCCCCACTGGAATTTCTAGATATTATTTCCTGAACAAGCGAACTCATTTTTGTGAAGCGATTACAGAAAGATTCAGGACTCAGGACAGATTACTCAAAAAATTAAATCAAAACAAAAACAATGTGCAGAATGACAATTCAGTAATTGTTTTAAGAAAAATAACTCTGGACACCCCAACACTCTAGTACTTTTGTTTTTCATCTTTCTTCAATAAACGCGATTGAAAAACGACAATAAAATCGTCGAATTCTAAGCGCTCTTGTTCCATTCCGATAAATACGCATATCGATCGATCGAGGATCTGGCGCCATTGCCGGCCGTCGACGTGATGGAACATATGGAAGCAAATGTGCCTCTTTATCTTACTCATTTACGCCCGTTATGTCTCTCTCTCTCTCTCTCTCTCTGATTCCTATTGCATTCGCCTATGATCATTTCAAAGCTATAAGCCCAATTTTGAATACGGCCGAGCGCAGCTAGGCCTGTATTTGTAATTTTAAAAGGCGGGGTACCCAATATGCGCAAAATAATTCGATTTCTGTATTCTGTTGAGCGTGATGTTGGTTAATTTAAAACGTAATATTCAAGATGTTTAATTGAAAATTTATTGTTTGATTTTTTGGTGGGTCATTGACCGAATGACCTTAAAGAGGAGCCGCGCCTGGTAATATCAAAACGTACAACTTCCATGGACATAATGGGGTTTATCAAATCAACCAAGTGACACGTTCCCCGAGTATTCTAAGAATAGTTTCTAATCAATATCAGTTGCATTTCAAATTAACTTATTTTTAATAGGATAACAAGCAAGATAATAGAAGAACATTTTTACAAAGGCGAAGTTGGTGGAAATCGTATATGAAGGATTATTAAATATCCTGCAGCCGGATTCTCCACTTACGAGTCGAGTGGAAATTCATATCGAATTGTCAAAATAGCGATTCTATTAAGCCTAGTACTCATTACCGCTACGTATTAAGCCTAGTACTCATTACCGCGAATTGCGGATTTTTATTTTGCGAATTTTTCTCTATTGGTCGAATATATTTAAATCTGTCAAGTTTAAATATAATCGACCAATAGAAAAAAATCAAAATCGTAGGCTTTAAGCCTAATACTCATAACAGCGAAATTCGCTCTTTTCTGAAATTGCTTCGACAATTTGACGTTTTATGCGTGAATCAAACGTCAAATTGTCGAAGCAATGCCAAAAAAAAGCGAATTTCGCGGTTATGAGTACTAGGCTTTACTTGGTGGGTCCAGCTGTCGTATTCAATATCGAGTGTTATAACAGACAATTCGTCTCGATTCGTAAAATAGTATCCGGCTGCTGATTAGAGGTTCTTCCCAGTGACCCACTTGAGTTACTCCTGAGCAGCTTAGGATTGCTCCACAATTACTTCGCGCGTTTCAGTGCTTAGAGTGTCGTACACTTTAACTACTCATTTCTGTTATCTCCTCTCCCCTCATGCATCAACTTTATTTCGGCGTTTCATGCTCCTTAAGTCCGAAATGGTGGGGGTTAAGAAAATTGAGGTTATTTTCGTTCGGTTTTGACGGTATCTTATTCTTCGTCATCGTTATTGTTTTGCTCTTATTATTAAATATTCAATAACCTGTTCAATTTTTATTTGTAAAGTAATGGAGGTCTACAAAGAACTATTGATGAACAGG